AAAAAAAAAAACAAATAACCCAAGATGGTTTAAAATTTCAAAAATCCCAATAAAACAATAATTTAAATAGTTTAACTTAACTATTGAAGCTCAAATACTTTGGCCACCTAATGAGATGAGAGGACTAATTGGAAAAGACTCTGATGTTGGAAAATATTAAAGGCAAAAGGAGAAGGGGGCGTCAGACGGTGAGATGGTTAGATAGTGTCATTGACACAATGTACATGAATTTAGGCAAACTCAGGGGAAAAGTGGAGGATAGTGGAGCCTGGTGTGCTATGGTCCATGGGGTCGCGAAAAGTTAGACATGACTTAGTGGCTGAACAAGACCTAACTACTGAACATAAGACAGCCTTAATATCATGGGTGGCAAGAAGCTGGAGGGCATTCCTCATCTTTGGTGGATGTCCAAAGAGCACAGGATGTTACTGAAAAAAATATGGCCTCCATACCTCAACTCTGGCAGGATGGGGAACACAAGAAATGCATAAAGCACATACGTGCTAGTTGTTTCCGGCACTAGGGGTCAGTGCTCATCTCTGTTACAAAGCTGAAGAGCCAGGGCTATTCGAAGATATCTCCATGGTCATGTGGCCGGCATGACTAAACGCCGAAGGCACATGGAACGCTGTTACCTTCCCACCAAAGTGGTCCCTATTTTTCTACTTGCATTTTTTACATAGTTTTGAACTGCTAGGTTGTCAGAAGCTGGGACAAGTAATGGGAGCTCACTCTGTTACGCGGCGCTAGGGATTCAAACTGCCAACCTTTCTGATTGACAAGCTCAGCATCTTATCCACTGAGCCACCGCATCCCTTGCATGGATAAGGTCAAATATGGGTAGGAATGATGTTCTTAAAAGTTATTCAGACTCCAAGCTATGAAGGCTTTAAACATGACAGGCAGAACTTTCACTTGGACCCAGAAACAAATCTGGAACCAGCATAGCAACAGCAGGAGGTATCTACTGGCATGGATTTCAAGTGCTGTAAATTGTAGGCTGAGGGATATGTGATGCACCCAAACTCAGATTTGCACCACCTATTCAATTTGGAGAAAGATTGAATTAACAATCAATCATCCACTTCAATGACTTATTCAAAGGAGTGAGTCATTCAAACGGCCCTCTAATTGAACCTCCGAATTGGTCCCACAGCCCTCTTGAAATCTGCAGAGATCTATGGCAGGGACAGTCAACTCCCAAACACTGGTACTTAGCAAATGTCTCTCTTACCTATAATGACTGTGTTGTCATCAGCAATCAGCAGCTTGCTGTGGACATAGATCAGTTCAGTAATGAGTTTCCCTTCCAGCTCAGCATAATTTCGAAGTCCACAGAATGAAATGTAATTAATCCACTGGTCTCCAACTGAAGGGTTCCATTAAGAAATGGAGGATGAAGGAAGAGAACAAAGAACAGAAAAAAAAAAACTTTAGGACTTTAAAAAGTAGAAGTAATGAATACTGAAGTTTTTTTTTCTAGAGTTTTTAAATTACAGAATGTAGATCTGGGCTAATTGTTAGAATACATTTCTTGACAGTAATAGCCCATGACGCCAATTACCTAGGGAGACCTACTACTATTTAGAACCCTTCAAACATATCATACTTAATTACTACAATTCCAAGCTAGCACGATCTTTCGCAATGATTGTTAGTATTATGGGAGATAGCATCAGATTGGTGGAAGAAGTCTTGGAGGGGTTTATGTAGAACAGCAACTCTGGATTTTCTGCATCGGGTTATAATAATAGCAAATTGGTTGTATCAGATGCTATAGAAGTAGAATGGATAACATTCAACCCCACCAATCCCATATTATTATAATTCTGTAACTGCAGTCCCAATAAGAAAGAATATCATAAATGTATCTGAAAAAAATAAAAGAAAAACATGGACGCAAATGTCTGAAATTTATGCATCATTCAGGTAATGTCTACCAACGGAAAAGAAAAAGGAAACAATAAACATTCTCAATCTGACTAGCTAGCAGTTTTGGCATAAATCCAAATTTCAATTCCTTCTGACTAAGCCTAGGGAGTCAGCTTGCTGGAATGACATCGTAAAAACAGGAGAAGCAGCTCATTTAGAATCACGTCCAAAGGGATGCATAAGATAGCAGCTCTTTTTTCTTTCTTTCCAGACACCCAGATGTTGTTTTGCTAGTTGTTTTCATTATTTTTGAAGATTTCCCTGACACAATTGAAGCCTCCTACATTAACTATTACATAATCCTGAAATTATTCCAGCTAGTATGTGCTTTATGGCAGATCTATCAAGGTTTGGTGTCCTCAAGACCCTATGGCGAGAGCACCTACAGAGACCCAAGCAAAGGACTTACTTTCAGCTTTCAGCTGTCCCAAAATTGAATTTTCTCCTCTGCACATGGTCCTGGAAAAATCAAAGCCACCATTACATTTACAAAACAGCACTATGCCAATGCGTTTATAACAATGTGTTTAGCTGAAATCATCAAATATGTCTCTCTTTCTATAGATAGATACCATTTCCCCAAAATAAGCCCTATCCCTAAAATAAACCCTAGCATGTTTTTCTATGCATGCACCAAGGCCTACCCCTAAAATAAGCCCTACTTAAGAACCTGCACAGCTGCCTGGCCGCCCATTATGTCTGGTTGCATGCTGTGGCCATGAGGCAAGGTAGAGGGTGGACTGCCTTATGCACCCCCACACCAGCTTACTTCAGGGCCCTTGTATCAGGTCATCAACGCTGTGACACCTGCCTTGCCATGGCAGCACCAGCAGCCATGTGCAGCAAGAGCCCATGTGACTGCAATAGAACAGGAGGCCAAATGGTGCACTGGTGCTGAGGCTATGGAGCAAGGGAGGTGTCAGAGCGTAGTTGGCCTGAATGCAGGGGCCTCAAGGTAAGCCAGTTTGGGACACCTGGATCAGCTCTACCTCTCCTGCTTCGTAGTGACGGCACTAGTGCACAGCGCGGCTTCCTGCCCTGCCCTGAGCAAACAGAAGAAGTGAATCTCCAGTACATGCAAAAGATACAAAATAAAACACCCCCAGAAAATAAGTCCTAGTGCTTGTTTTGGGTCTCGGTCTTATTTTCAGGGAACACAGCTACATGTATGTATGAATGTATGTATATATGAATAAAGATATGTACATATGCATACATACATACACATAGATATGTATGTATGTATGTATGTATGTATGTATGTATGTATGTATATATAGACAGACAGACAGACATACATATAAAGATAGACATAGCTATAGATAGATAAGTAAATATCTTAGAGAAAGCAAAAACATTTTCTTGGCCTTCTGCAACTTAAAGTTATTTGATGTTTTCTGGCCTTCGTGATCTCTATTCATATATATTATCTCAACTCCTGCTAATGTCATAGATGCAGTTTTGGTATTGGTATTGGACAACAGCATTGTTTTCTTTGCTTTTTCCCCCCTGACCTCTTCACAGATATATGAAGAAAGATCATGAGGGCCAGAAAACATTGAACAACCTTAAGTTGCAAAAGGCCAAGAAATTTTGTTTTGCTTTCTTTAAGTCTTAAAGGAAGCCAGCAATTTGAAGCCTCAGCTCTTTTTGGTGCAATCAGGAATCTGAAACAGGTTACAGAGCTCCTTTCTAAAGTCAAGGAAAAAAAAAAACAAAGACAAAACTACGGTGTTGCCCAAAACCAATACCTTCAGATGAACTAGAAAAGCTAAGCAATGGGAGATCATCATGCAACAAGTGAGCTGTGGGCAGAACTGGAAAACCAGTAAGATATCCTGGAAGAAAGCAAAGCCAGCCATTTCTCTTGTCAAGAAAACTACATGCTTGTGTTTATGACATTAGCAGGAGTTGAGATCAATCTGATGGAGATGTTACTTTTTATGCAACGTCAGGTCCCGTGACTTGTCAATCATAAAGTTAACTTAAGACTTGTCCTCAATAGCGTATTAGAAGAAAGCCTTGTGACCGTGTCTTAGAACTGTTGGACATACTTGAATAGAAGAAAACTAAACATGAGCACAGGATATGGGGTGGACTTCCATAGAGAACTGGAAACTCACCACCATGGTCAACAGCAATATATAACTGAATAACAGAGTTGAAAAGGATCTTGGATGATGGGGACAGCAGTCTGGAAAAAAGACTATAGGACATCCTGGACAAATAGGGTATCTAGCCTGGGAAAAGAAGGGACCTTCTTATGCTTCTAAATAAATATATGTATGCCAACCTAAATATGAATCACTGTACAGATGTTCCAAGCCTGGCATGTTTCCACCTTGGGAATTCTTCAAGGCAACAAGGTAGATACCAAAATCCTTCTTTGAACACAATTGTAAATAGGCATCATTAAAGCAAGTCCCATTCTGAATGATACTTATATACAAGACATTGAAGAACATACAACACAGAATAAAAGGGTTGAAAAGGACCTTGGACGTCTTGTAGTCCAACCCCTGGCACAAACAGGAGACCCTAATATTATTCTTCTTGAGAACCTCCAGTGATGGAACACCCAACTTCGGAAAGGAACTCGTTTCACTGATTCATTGTTCCCGCTGTCAGGAAATTCCTTTTTTGTTCTAGGTTGGCTCTCTCTTTAATGGTTCCCCCCACCCCCTGTTATTTATTGTCTTGCCCTCTGGTGCTTTTAAGAAGATAGCCCTTCAAATATTGGAAGAATGCTATCGTATCACTCCCAGTTCTTCTCTAGATGTAACTAGATCCCTCAATCATTTTGAAAATATAGCATTAAAATCAGCATTACAAATGTGAACAGATGTACATATGCCCATATGTATCTCTTAATTTTCTTTGAAGTAGGTGTCTGTAAAATGGAGAGGTAGACTGCCTGACCCACACCCACACGGCACAATGGGAAAAAGAAAGAAGAAAGATTAATTAAAAAGCCAGAAAATGCATTCTAGATTTTCTCGGTGCGGCACAACCTCAAACTCAGTGCTCCCTCTGCTGACTCTTCAGCAGAAATACATAATGAAAGGAGCTTTGTTCAGCTCTGAGAAAGTTCAACACTGACCCTGTTGGATTGCTAGCCAAGTGGAAAGGGAGTGGATGATACTTAAGGTGATTCAAAAACTTATTATAAAGTATTGCTTCATGGCAGAGGTGGGTATTTAGCAGGTTCTGACCGGTTCTGGAGAACCGGTAGCGGAAAATTTGAGTAGTTCGGAGAACTGGCAAATCCCACCTCTGACTGGAGATTTTACAGTCCCTTCCCCTGCCACGTCCGCCAAGCCACGCCCACAGAACTGGTAGCAAATTTTTTTGAATCCCACCGCTGCTTCATGGTAAATCTTTTAAACTTCATTTCCACTTCAGGGCTTGGATTGGTGAAATCCCAGAAATGTTTATGTTGTTTTTAACGGTATTGTTGTCCATCCCCGATGCAGAGTTCCCCTGCCAGCACTCCAGGGGTGGGCTTCAAAAATGTTAGCAACGGGTTCTCTGCCCGATTGCTGGGTGGGCGTGGCCATGGTGGGTGTTGCCTAGTCGGCCTCCTGTACCACGGCTGGGGTGGGGGCCGTTTTTGCCCTCCCTGGGCTATGGAGACTTTCCTTGAGCCTCCTTCAGGGCTCCAGAGGCTCTCTGGAAGCCGGAAACAGGCCCCTTTCCGGCCTTCCTGAAGGCCCGTTTTTCGCCCTCCCCAAGCCTCTGCACGTGCCCTGCACTTACCTGCATCCAAAATGGGCTGTGTGGGGACTCCTGGGAGGGGTGGGGGGGGCAGCCAGGAGTGGGATTTGGGGGTTCTCCGATATTGTGCTGAATCTTAGCTAGAGGATCTCTCAAACCCCTGTAAACCCCCAGCAGTTCACCTCTGCAGGACTCCATCATCTCCCCAACTGGATGGGACACAGAGGAGTAGTTTTCTATGAACACGTCACTCAGGCCAATACCTAATTAGCTTTAATTATATTGTTGCTTTATGCAAGTTTACTCCTTTCTCCCTGCTGCTTCTTATGACTGGAAGAGTTCCAAAGATGGGACTCTTTCCTTCGAATTCCTGCTCAAAATGCCAGTTTTTTTTCCCGTCAAATAGCAATAGCAGCCTCTTTTTGACATGCAAAGAACACCACCTGTCTATGACTTCTGATGACAAGGAGTAATTTATGAGCATTCTGGTGTATGCATGTTTTCCACTCATTCTGAATATTTAAAAGTTGGGCTAGAGCTACAGCAGCCCCCAACGTTTTGGGCACCAGGGACTTGTTCTGTAGAGAGAGATTTTTCTGCAGACCGGAGGGGGCGTAGTTTCATGTGCTGCCTGCATCCTGCAAATGGGGCTTCGCTTGTTTGCGTGGCCCAGTTTCTGGCATGCAGTGGACCAGTACCGGTCCTTGAACTGGGGATTGGGCCCAATTTTACTCTGCCATCATGTCAAGAACATGCTTAGCCTTAGTACTGTATTAAGCCCGTTTTACAGCTTCATACAATATACTGAACCATCAGTAAAACTAACATAATATGCTAAAATAAAACAAATCTCCCTTGAGGTTAATGCTACCCAAACTAAACATGCTGCACAAATGCATCTTTTAGATGTTTGTCTAATAAGTGCTTTATGTGAATATGACCAGAATCAGAGAACCAGATATATGTTCACTTTGATATGTCTGTTCCTTTCCCCCACCTTCCAGGCTTCCAATGGAAACTCAGAGGGATAAGGCTGTACTTTGAATTTAGAAATGGTCAACATTTACTGTATCTGAATCCTAAACATATAAATTATGTCACACAATCTGTAATTTAAAATTTAAAGACACAGGTACAAGAGAAGTAGAAAATCCTATGGCTTTACCAGCCAGCAAAAGTGGAAGAAAGATTATAAAAATGAAATAAATTCCACAGATCTAATCACAGATTCTTGGCTAAACTGTCCACCACTATCTTAGAGAAAAAGGATTACTCCAGCAAATGACTCTTGGTTGCTTTTCCTAGTTGTTCCTTGAGTCTGATAAATTGCTACCTTAAATCAGACTCTCTGGAACAATTTTTATCTTAGCTTTTTCCTATCACAGTACCAGGCTTATTTTCCCCAGATGATCTCTCTCCCATTTCAAACATCAGAAAGACTTTTCTCTTTAGCAAAAAGGGCTAAGTTGAAAAAAAAATCTTCTTGATAATTCCAGGTATGCTGTAGTCTACAGAGCCTGTGAATTGAACTAGCACAGGGGTCTACAACCTTAAACACTCAAAGAGCCATTTGGACCCCTTTCCCACAAAAAAGAAAAACCAGGAGCCATAAAACCTGGGTGGGTGTGGCCAACTCAACACCACTCCCACCCAGTCACATGACATCCCTCTTGCCACGCCTACCCAGGTTTTGGGTGTCCCGGTGTTTTCTGTGGTAAATGGGTCTCTCTCTCTCTCTCTCTCTCCTCCCTCCCTCTCTCCCCCCTCCTTCCCTCTCATTTCTGTTTTTTGTGTTTTACCTTCTCAGGCCAGGCGAGCAGTGACTGGAAGGGGAGGGTGAGAGACAGAGCCAGCCAGTGATAGGATTGCCCAACAAGGAGCCACAGCAGAAGGCCCAAAGAGCCTCACACAGCTCCAGAGCCACAGGTTGCTGACACCCAAACTAGCATCTTGGTTCTAGTTCGAGGGTCTGGTTTGTAGCAATTGTGTGGAGACAGCATGCCTATTCACTATAACAAAACTCCAAGAAGTTGCCTAAGTATGCGTATGTGAACAAGAAAATATAACACTATTATTTTATCAACTGCTCCTATTCTGGCTCCAAAGTGGCCTTCCCCATTTTCATTTGTGCTGATGCTTCAAAGGCTGAGTTGGCTTCCAGAGCATTGATCTGAAAAAAAAATACACCACTCAGTCTCTCTTTTCAGCTCAGTGACCTAGAGATAATGAAACTTCTGGTGCATTATGGAGGAAGAAAAAGAAATGTCTTGGTAAGATCATACTTGGAATATTGCATCCAGTTTTGGTCTCCAATACAAAAAAAGTCATTGAGACTCTAGAAAGAGTGCAGAGAAGAGCAACAAAGATGATTAGGGGATTGGAGGCTAAAACATATGGAGAATGGTTGCAGGAATTGGGTATGTCTACTTTAATGAAAAGAAGGACTAGGGGAGACATGATAGCAGCGTTCAAATATCTCAGGGGTTGCCACAAAGAAGAGGAGTCAAGCTATTCTTCAAAGCACCTGAAGGTAGGACAAGAAGCAACAAATGGAAACTAATCAAAGAGAGTAGCAACCTAGAACTAAGGAGAAATTTCCTGATGGTTAGAACAATTAATCAGTGAAATGAAAGTTGTGTGTGCTCCAACACTGGAGGTTTTAAAGAAGAGATTGGACAACCATTTGTCTGAAATGGGTTTCTGTTTGAGCAGGTGTTTGGCTTAGAAGACCTCCAACGTCCCTTCTAATTTGGTTATTCTGTTATTCCTTTGGCCTTGCGTTGAAGGGACCATAGCAATAAGTGCTCATCAGCAAATGAAGATCTTCATCTTAGGACACTGTTTTAGCAGATGGCCCTATGCCAAGGGCTTCTTTAACTTTGGAGCTATCTCTGCTCTCAATTGGTTTTTTGAATTTGGGCCAAGCATCCATCAGAGAGCTGCTTACATGCCACACTAAAATGCTTTACTGCATTGCTGAAAATAAAAGGATCCAGGCAGAACCTCTAAAGTTACCTGTAGTTAAAATGCATAATGGCCTGGAGAGCATTGCCTCCTCCAGTTGAAATATCACCTTCAAAACCAGGCAGCAGGGGGATCACTACGTAGACTCGGTATCGTTTGTTTTCCCTAAAAAAAAATGCAAAACAAGTAATTTAGTTTTGTGACAATATTGTATATTTTACAGTACTGGAGTTTTAGTACAGTTCAGGGAGTCCTTAGCTCATGATTGCAATTGGGACTGGAATTGTGATTGTTGAGTGAAAGGTCATTCCATGAGAAGTTATGTCACTGTGTCACTCAAGAACCATAAACCTGGCACTCCTGGCCTGGATGCATTCATTAAGCAATCCCTGGTTTTTTAAGCAGACGGACAAATGAGCTGCCTGCCAAAGGATTTCAGCTTCCCACAGAGCTGAAATCTTCTGGCATGCAGCCTTTTTGAAAAAAGGCAGACTTTTTGCTTCTGGCAGGCAGCAGCAGCTTGCAACCTTCCCTGCCAGCTTTTCACAGACATTTTCAGGAAGTCAACAGAGAAAATTGCAAATGGTGATCACAGGATCACAGAACATTTGGCAACTGATTGCACGTGCAAATAGGTTGCCAAACATTCAGCTTCTACAATGTTTTGGGTTTTTTTTTGCTGGAAATTGGCAAAAAAAAAAAGGTTGCAAATCATGAGTATGTGCAACTGCAGCTAGTTGTAAATATAAGTAGTTCTCAAGCACCCAAATTGCAATCATGTGGCTGTGGGGTGGTACAGCAGGAATAAGTGCAAATGCAGGTCAACACTTTTTCCAAGGCATTTGTAATTTTGAAACATTGTTAAATGAATGGCCATAAGTCAAGGACTATCTGAATCATTTAAATAATTACACAAGACCAACATTTACAGATGCAGAGGCCAAGTATTTTATAGAGTATATACCTGTGGAATTTTTAGCACTGACTGACCAACAGGAGGCAGTGTATGACTGGTTTCGTTGTTACTGGAACTCATCAATTTTGGATCTTAAATCAGTTTAACTTTTTTTGTTAGCAAGAATTGAAACTCTTAGGCTGTAGATTTTGTTCACCGTTATGTAATGCACTCAGCTTTATGAACTATAGTGTCCTCACTATGTCCTGTAGGAAGGGAGGTATAAACTAAGCAATGAGCATACCTCTTCCTTCTTTTAAGATCTTATTTTAGAGAGAGAGGTCTTAGAATTATGGAGCTTGAGTCATGCAACCTGTAGCCTGTGTGCAGGACATACTACAATGTGTCTCTCTAGTCAGAGTTTAAAATGATGAAGGCATACACTTATTCTTATTTCATACATATTTTGACTTTCATTACTGGGTCTCTTTCCCAATCCCAAGACTTATAAATAGGTTGTTACAAATTTACTCTAAGCCAGGAGGAAAGTTGTTTCTCATTTACTGAATCAAAGTACAAAAGAAAATATATACACAATCTAGTTATTTCATTTCAATTCGCACAGCATTCAACACAACTAAATATTAAGAAAAGCCTTTCCCAATCTTTGGTCT